ACGAAATGAAAAACAGTGTAAAATCTATTAGGATTTAAACAACGAAGAGGTAACGAGCTCAAAAGTGGTGTTTGTTAAAGAACAGAAAGCAGAAGGAATAATGGCAATTCCAGTACGCACTGATAAAACCTAAACAAAAACTTTCTAAACAAACACGCAAGAAAAAAGAACAAAATATAAAATAATATACAGGAAAAAACTATGGCTGAATACCGTTGATTTGGCTGTTTCTCAACAGCAACACATCTGTGCAAATAAAATGCAGTTTTTCCAATTTTCCTGATCTTCGTTAATAAACCATTATTCCACACTCATGTACTGTCGATACCAACATTTTTTGAAAGCCACTCAGCAACAGCACTATTTTCTTTTCATTTACAGTTTCTTTATATCTTCTTTTCAGAAAAATAAAAAAAAAAATGCTTGTTGAATAAAAGTTTGACTTAAAATTGCAATAATTTATACGATTTAATTAACTATCTGACAAATCAGAAATCTATTTTGTACAACAATGCTAGTATAATTGTAAAATTACTGTAACATTAAAACAACAATTATAATAGCTACAAAAAAAATCAAGGTGAGCGCATTTTTGACCAAATAAGCAAAGCTACAGTCACAGTAATTCAGCGACCGCAATTTAATACATTTAGTAGCTTCTTCAAAGTCATATTCGTACGCAATTATTCCTCAGTTGCCAATTATCACAGCATACAATTTTATTGACAGAATAGAAAGATAGCATTGCTAATATGACTCGTCGACAAAACCTCGTCGGGTCAGTAGTACCATTGAGCCACTAAACATTTAAATGTTCCACGAACCAATAGAGGATTAACTGATGAGATACTGACTGAAGTCAAAAGTCAAACGCTGTTATGTATGCACTGTTCAAAACAGTGTTCTAGTCGTCGTCTATGCTTTTTCAAATAAAGTCTATTGAAAAATCACCAAATAAAAAGTTCAGTTTTTCGTGAATAAATAATGAATAAACCATGTCTATTGGTTTCTAATACAAAGTTTCAAATATATGTTATTTAATCAAACTAACCTAGAAAACCGTTTTTTGGGAGCTTCTGTAAACCCGTAGAGAATATGACTTCTGACAATTCAAAAAAGACTTTTTGACAATACTTAAGCACGTGTGTCTTCCATGATGACATAATAATACAATGCACAGCTTCGAAATGTAGTGAAGAGACATATTCCATTCATACACGTGTATACATACACATAAATAAATAAATATACATACATATTTATACTCTATTTATACATATGCATAATCATTTATATTAAATATGTATATATATACGTAGTTAATATAATTATTATATATATAATAATTATATTAAATTATAATTATATATATATATATATATATATATATATATATA